CCTTCCCCCATGAGCTGTGTATCCACCTGAACGGGTGCGTTTTTGAGAGCGTCCCTCCTGGTGCATGGAGGACCCTTCTTTTCCAACCTTACCTAGCAATTTAGTGCAAATGCCTGGAAGAATAGAGAGGACGTTTGGACAGCTCTCTCTTCCTGCACCATTAGAGGATCTTTGAGCTGTCTTTCTTCTGGCAACGCTGCCAGCAAAATAAGCTTCTGAGCATAAAACATCGCTACTTCTTGTGTATTGGGAGATCTGCTGGTAAAAGTGTGGATATAAAATGCTCTCTGAGGTTGTTCTATTCGGTGGAGGAAAAGCCAGAGATTCAGTATTATTTTTGCTTAATCAACATACTGCCAAAGGAGAACAATGCAAACTTGTTAGTCATTTTCCAATACTCTAGATATTGAGAGGATGAATAAATCTCCAACAATGTAGTGATGCTGTGGTGGCTTCCAAAAGCCCTTCCTGCCTGATGCCACAGCTCTTCGTGGGTCACTGTCAGTACGAACCCTATGCTGCCCATGCAGGTTTTGGGGCATTGGAATTTTTTTGGGGAAGGCTATCATTTAAGAGCTGTGGGCTCTTCACAAGACTGGGGATCATGTTTGATTGGATGTGCTTTGTGAGTATAACCTTTGAGTCTGATTGAGTCTGGATTGTGGTTTGTCAGGCCCACATTTCTCTTCCCTCCTCCAAGGTGAGGGAGGTGGGGAGTTGGGCACTTCATAGGGATGGATTAGTGAAGGGGTGCATCATCTGGAAACCCGTTGCTCAACGACGGGTGCTGCCGTGCTGTAGAGAAAGGGGGCACAAACCACTGACCACTCTCCTGCAGCACAGATGTGCTGCATCCTTTTGGGTGCTGAGCTTCAGACGTGATGGGCATTGCTTGACATCTGACGATCTCTGGCTTACCTCTGCAGCAGCAGCAGAGTCTGCACAGTGAATTGCAGATAGAAACTTGTATCTAAGCACGGAATAGTTTTTGGTGGGTTAGGTTTGGGGTTTGGAGGTTTTCTTTTGCTCTCTTGTTCCTTATGTGGTTGGGTGGAAAAAGTGACAATGAATCCTGCTCAGTCATAGGCTCTCATTCCATACTTGGTACATCCTGAAACCTGTACCTCTGTGTGTGCTCTGGAAAAATGCCATCTGGATTTCCTAATGGAATCTGACGCAGATTTCAACTTCTGTGTACTGCAAAGGAGGAGAAAGTTTCCAGTATTTTCCATTCACCAGTAAGTGTTAGCATGACCCCAGCATCAAAGTATGGAGGGCTCTGTGATTCTTTTCCACTGCACTGTTCTTGTAACTCTTTTCTCATAGTGTTTTATTTTTATGAGCATATAGCTTTTGTAATTCCACTTGAGTTAAGTGAGCTGTTCAGACAGCATGCTTCAAAATGTGTCTGAGGTGCTATTTTAGCTGTACTTTGCTCAAGATAATCCTTTCTTTTAAAAGGTGCGTGTAGCTCCACCTTTGCGTAAACCTTTGTAACAGACAAGTACATAATCCTCCTTAGACAACCTGGTGGAAAAGTGTGCAGAGGCTTTTGAGCTGATTGCTCCTTCTGGCTGTGCACAAACTGTGCAGACCTCCACGATGCTCATCCTCTGTAGCAGTGGAGGAGAATGAAGCCTTCTAGTGCATTCAGCCAAAGTGGTGATCCAAGTGAGTTCTGCCTGGCTACCTGGAGCTACCTTACCTTGCTCAGTGGCTTCCCAGGGAGATCTGCTGCACAGAGCACTGGAGTGGGCCAGGTGATGCAAACAACCCAGAGTCTCACCTTCCTCACCTGCCTAAATCCTGGAGGTTTGTGTCCAGGCCAATGGTACTGTGGGAGCTGACAACCGCGGCTTGCTCACAGGAGATGGAGTCCGGGGTGGATGTGAATGTGTAGCTAATGTTGTTGCCTTCCCACAACACCTGGTGAACAGTCAGAAGAATGAACTGCAGCATCAGTCACCACTAAACCAAATTTCCCCAGTCTGGTCATTAACGGAGTGAGTGCTTGCTGATTGGGGATGACTCATCTGAATCATCACCATTATAAAATATAGCACTCCAGCCTTTCGTGCATCTGCCGCCATCTATGAATTACTCTTCAGTGACAGAATTGCTTTTAACCTTGTTATGGGGGTGGGAAGCATCTCTATGCACTGTCTCTCAAAAAATGCTGCAGGTGTCAATGCAGTTATAATTTAACATTGTGGAGGTTTTTCACTCTAAATTGTATTTCAAAGATGGGCTGCAAATCGCAGGCCAGTTTCCCCAGCTGGTGTAAACTCACACAGCTCTGTTGATTCTGCTGCAGCCTCGCAGACTTGTGCCAGCTGCATCTCTGACCTGTAGCATTGCCCCTGCTGCTGCAGCCAAGTGAACCTTTATTTTGTGGTATTTTAATAGCAGAGGTTGTGCAAACACAGGGGAGCAGGTGGTCCACGCCCTGGCTTTTAAGAACCAGATGTGCTTGCATTAGCGCTGGGATATCAGCAAGTGAATTATTATCACCCTCCTGGCTGGGTTTGCTAAACATGATGTGCATTCCAATGGCTTTCATTTTTGGCTATGAGACTCAAACCTCATTTGCTGAAAGTCAGTGCTGTGGTTTTCCTGAAAGTCCTTTGTAAGATGACTTGGATAGCCCCCAATCCAAAGTCACTTCTGTAGCCTTTGGGATGAATTAGAGGTCACATCCCAAAGGGGCCAGCCGAGACTTTAGCTATAGAGCTGTTTGATGGGGAGACGTTCTCAGGATGGGAGACAGTGCTGTTTTCCAGCACTGGAGATGTTTGAAGCCCCAGCCATCCTCCTGTCCCCTTTGTTCCTCCATAAGGAAGCAGAGGCGAGCGGGCAGCTGCAGCCATGAGCTGAGCTGAGCTCAATGTCACTGTGGGACCAAAGGAGACCAAGGGCACCTTGTGAGATTTTCTGCCTCCCCTGGGCTGCCCTGACCAGCCATTTCACTTCATGCATGGGAGCCCAGCAAAACTCTGCAAGAGCGAGCTGTCATATCTTTCATGTGATTTCCCCTCATTTTGAGAGACTAACGTGATATGTATGGGAAAGTGCCAGCGATAGTGATCTGGGCAGAAACATGTTGGACTTCATCTGTTTATGTGGAAGGGCCACAGCAGTAACCTTTCTAAGAAAAAGCATGATTCACCAAAACTGTATTCTTTATGCCCCATACCTACTTCCATGAAGTATTTCTTTCCACAAAACAACAGTAAAACCAATTCAAAGCCAGAAGACCTCCACAGAAATATGGTATCAAGAGGTCTGCAGACCTCTGTGCTTGCAAAATGTCCTTTATCACCTTCCAGAGAAAGCCTGTATTTGCTTTCTGAGGGATCCCATCACTCCACATGTCGTCATTGCACTAAAGAAAATGAAACCTTCAGCTACTGACAGATCTGGGAGGGCAAAGAAACTTCTTGGTTTTGTAGCACTGAAGCTAGCCTTTGTATACTGCCATTGCTGTAGGAAAATAATCTTCTCCCTGTCAGACACTTTCTCGGGTCCCACCAAAGTCAAATGAGAGTTACACAGGTGCTTCTAAACAAAATGAGTCTGCTCTCACTTAATGAAGACATAATCCTCCTCTGAGCTGCAATGGAACCATGCTGGTGTGATGGCGGGGGAGGCAAGATCCCACACAGGCCCTGAGAGCTCCAAGAAATAATCCTTGCTTTGGTTTGCCCAGCCCTATGGAGCAGCTGCATCAGCTGGAGAAATTTTGCTGGGGGTACCCCATGGCTCAGTGATGCTCAGTGGCTGTGGTGTGAGGGAAAGCAGGGGTTAGTCACTGTATTCACATTTCTTTCCCCATCACAGGATGTTAGCTAGTGGGATCCTGTTCACAGATCTCTTCCTGGTTTTAGCAATGTGACTGAATATCAATTTTTTGCGATATAAGAATAAAGCAAACCCCAGAGGCACAGTGGTGTTGCTGTGGGGTTGATGTATTGTGCCCCTGAAGAAGGGGTTCACTCCGTGCCAGGCACCTATCTCACTCCTTATTGTGTTGGTTACCTCCCTGCTGCATTTGGGATGGTGGGATGACACCCACCCTTCACCTGCCCTGGGAAGTGGCAGGGGACTCATCACTCACCAGCTGCTCCTCCCCGTCACATGCTCCCACCTTCCCCAGGGAAACCTTGTTTTTCTTGTCTCAGAATGCTTTGGGTGATGTTGCAAGAAAATATGAAGACGTTGTTTTCATCCATTCATTTCCATACCTCAATCACCGTCTAAATTCTCGTCTCTAGCACCCACCCTAGCAACAGCACATGGTAAAGCTGAGGAGCATCAGCCGAGGAGGGGCCATCCTAGTCCTCATTTGCTGTGGGCTGTTGCAGGTCTCAGGGCAGGGAACTTCCAGGGACCACAGGACACACCAAATATGGATTTTCCAGAACCCCAGGGATGCTGAGAGCATGTTATCCCACATCAGCAGTATCATCTCAATGAGCTTACATGCAGCTGCCTTGCAAAGACAATAAATTCATTGTAGGTTCCAGGTGAGCAGCAATGAACCCTCGCTTTGACTAACAGACACTTTCTTCTCAAATGGAAAATAGGTCTTCTTTGTTTGTTTGTTGTTCTTTTTAGGTGATGGACAGGAGGTAGCCAGTCCCCCATGCAGTGAGCTGTTTGTGTTGGTTTTGAGGGGCAGCCCTGGAAATGGTTCCCCCCTTCCTTCTCACACCCCAAAGGCTGTAATATCACCAGAAGATGGACCTCACCTTACACTGCCATAGCTCCTAATCCTAGGGGATTTTGCTGTTTCTAAAAACACCTCCCTGTGCGCCTATCCACAGATTTAGTCCCTTGTCTAGACCTGAGGCATGGTGTGTCTGTGCCCTGTGCAGTGGAGTGGGGAGGTGAGTGTCAGCGTGCATGAGCAGCTTGTGTGGTGCCAAGGGCAGCAATACTTGGGATGTCCCAACACCCCAGCATCCTCTTTCTGCTCCCATTGCACTGCCCTGCCGGCACCCATGGGCTGCAGCATGGGAGCTGCCCTGGTACCCCCCCAGAACCTCCCATGTGGAGCCGGCACCTGCAGCGGGAGGCCGTCTGACAGCACCCACGCCACGGGCTCCTGCCCTCCCCCAGCCGGGTGAGCCCGCGTGTTTCCCTGTTTGCCTCTCACCTTCTGCTCTGATCCTGGGACAGGGGACACTGACACCCAGGCTGCTGCCCCTGCAGGAGCCCGCTCACACCCAGGCTGTCACACCCGCGGGCTTTCCAGGGCTCACATCCTCCTTATTCTCATTCCCCTGGAGGGGCTGGAGCCCTGCACCCGGCCGTGCTTCGTTGCCAGGTCTGTACCGACACTCAGGAGGGGCTGGTGGTGAGAGCGGGTGGTGGTGGAGAACTGGGAGGCTGCAAGAGCCACGGAGCTGCGGAGCAGCAGAGCTGAACTGATGGAGAAGAGGGAGCCAGGGCTCTGTCTGACAGGTTTTGTTTGCTGCTACAGCCGTGCCAGTTTGCCTGTTCTTGTGCAAGCCCAAGGCATCTGCATTTGTCTGGGAGGATAGACTTGGTTGTATATTGTTTGAGGAAGGTTGCTGGGGTTTCTGCTTCAAAATGATGCATATACAGTATGTGTAAGAGGGCTAAGTTTCTGCCTTGTGGTCAGATATAATGGTGCTTTTGGGAAGAAACAAGTGTATGCTACGGCATGAGTGCTGCTTTTTAAAATGAAACGAGGACCTGAAGCGTTGCTCGGGTGGGTAGGGATGGGTGGCCCTAGGACTGGTTGGAAGAGGATACAGATCTGCTAGAGAAAGGTAGGGACTGCAGAAGGTGTGCATGTCTTGTGTATAACTGCAGACCTATCCATACAGCCCTGCTTGCTTCTGGGCTGCAGTGTTGGCCCATCTGTGGTAGGATCACAGCATCCTGGATGCTGCACTGGTGCAAAATTTCCAGGAGCTGGAGGGAGGAAATGGGTCTGTCTTGTGCAATGCTCTGGCCTCCAGAAAGTTGTCTGATCCTGCTCATCTCTGTAACGAACAGCCAGGGAAATGAGCCAGAGAGGTCAGCAGATCCACTGCTTTATGGTGGTGAAGTGTGGTGTTGGCAGAAAATGCAGGGAGGTAGGTGACGTGCTGTGCTATCTTTCGTTACTAGCGTAGTGCACCGTGGTTTTGTGTGTTAACAGCTCATGAGAAGCTGCTGGAGTACTGTATTTTCTAAAGGTATGTATGTATTCCTCTAGACTCCCTTGGTTTCTGGTGCTTGGTTACTGATGCTTTTGGCAGTAATATGAGGGAGAGATTGCTGGAGGTGTTTACTCAGTATAAATTAGAATGCAGGTCCTTTGATTTGTGAGAGCTGAGAAAATTGCTTAGGAGATGAACATCTGTCATTTAACATCCACCTCTGCTTACATCATAAATACTACATTTTAACCTCAGTAGGGAAGAAAAGTACATCCAGCCAAAGCGAATCAGTTTGCCCACCTAATGCTTGAGGACAAAATTCCCTCTGAGCTCCAAAGCCGAATATCACATTAACTAGGTACATTACATGACAGAAAATTGTCTCTTTTCCTTTTAAATTGCCTGCCCCAGTGGTCGACCAGGACCCAGCAGCATCTCACAGCATGTGCTTCACTGAAGCTCGTTTGCTGGAAAGGAGGTCAATTCAGACAGGGGCAGTAAGGACCGTGATGGAGCCAGCAGTTCCAGCTGGTTTGGGTGCACTCCACTGGCAGCAGCACCCAAGCTCACAGAGATGCCATCAGCCTGCTTTTTATCAGAGATGCCTATTCTGCTTTGCCTTTGTTGGGAATCAGCCAGGTCTAAGTCAGTTCTGACATTTGTAATATAGACGGAAGTTATATTAAATGCCAGATGCGCTGCAGCTGCAAATTGCTCTATTTGAACTCAAATGTCAATTTACAGCTCTGTAATGGTATCCCTGTCACAGTCCTACCTCCCCAGCAGCAGTGGGCATGACTGCCTCAGCACCCAGACAGCCACAGCATGCTCTCCAGGACCTTAGCTTCACCTCCCTTCAGACCCAGCTGGGGTCAGACTCTGCATCATGCAGGCAGCCTCATGGACTTGCATTTGGCAGCTCTAGCACTCCATAGCTGTGAACGTTTGGGTGTTCAAGAGATTAGTATTAGATCTCTCATAGCATGGGTGTACTGGAGAGACATGGCCTCAGTGATGGTTTCTGAGATTGCAGGTAGACACCAGGTGCATGAAGCCTATCCATGCTTGCCCATGCATCTCCATCCTCCAGTCCCATAGCTCTAGCAGTAACCGGGTCTTCCTTGAGCTTGTATGTCACAGCTCTTCGTTACACACAGCCTTTTTAAACCAAGGGACCTTAGTGGCTTGAAGATTTCTTTCCTAATTCCCCTTCTTACCTGTCAAAATGCAGTCTTGACAGATGCCCTTTGCCAGGGATGCCTCAATTTTTCCTTCAGGAGGTGGCTCTCAGAGTTGGTGCTGCGCCAGTTGAGCAGTGTGAACAGACTCTGGTGTGCTTGGAAATAAGCAGACTAGGACCCATTTTCATCTACTCAGGGGCCTTTGGGCTGTACCCATCTGACCACACAGAGACATTTATGGTGTAGATCTGTTTCCTAGAGACAGATCTAGACTCAATTCCCAACTCCAGAAACCTGCCTGTGGCATCTTGACTGCTAATCACATGCTCTCCATGAAGATATCACTCAGAGGAGGTCCCTCTCCACCTCCAACAAGAAATCCATGGCATGAGAATGAAAGGGCAAGCAGCAGATGACAGTGAGGAAAGGGACAAGGCTCAGTGAGCAAGGGCCATCTCCAGTGGTGCTGCCTGGCACCATGGACCACAGGCAGTTACTCAGGTCGTTGTTGACACCTGATGGAAGATGAGTTTGGGCTATGCCATCAATACACCTGCACTGCTGGGAAACCTGTGTGTTGGAAAGCAGTCTGCACTGAGTCCATTACTTTTGCTTTGGAGGTCTGTCACCTGTATTTGCTGTAATGGATGGAGAGGCAGCAATGCATGCAAGAGCAGGATGTGTCCCACGTTGCTGCCAACCTTAGGGAATTCCCTCCGAGTCACTGGCCAGTGCAAAAGTTGCTGAACTGTTCAGTTTTGCCCCAGGTCATTTCTAACAAGTAATTCACTGCTCAGCGCTTGCTCCTCCCAAGTGATCCTCCGGGCATGCACCGAAGCCTGCTGTGGGATGGGAGCCACCACCCCAGGTGAGGTCCTGGTTTACCAGGATGAAGCCTGGGTAAACTAGGATGCTAATTTTGGGCTGGGTACGATTTTACTCAGAGCTCCTCAGGGGAGTCTCATGAGGGCATTGACCATGATTTGCAGTTCATAAGCAGTCAGCTGGGGGGAATAGTGGGAAGCAGAAAGCCACCCTGGTTATGGTCAAAACAGAGAGCTTTGGGGACAGTGAGATGTGACCATCTGCCATGGAGCAAACCAATGACACAGGTGGCTCTAAACTGGTCCCAGTACGGATTTCAGTGGAGTTGCACAGGGCTTCTGCAATGGTGGGTGAGGCAGTTAGGCTGCTGAGATTTCAGGGGAGACTTCCTGGGGAGCAGGAGAATGCCCCTTCCCTCCCTTAACCTCTCATGTTATTGCTGACTGATGTGGCTATGGAGATGGGGCCATTCAGCTCCCTGCTGGGTTCTAGCTCAGGAATCCATAAGTAGGCAGTACCTTGCAATCCTCGGAAACCTCCCAAAAGAATATAGAGAGGTAGTTGAGGATATCCAGCCTCAAAATATCATTTCATCAGCATCTGAAGTGTCTTCAGTGCTACTGAAAATTATTATGAGAAGTGATTCCCCTGTCCTTCCAGAAGAAGTTGAGAGATCCAGCGAAATTCCTCTTTGTTTTATCTTAAAGTTATTATTGCCATGACTTGTTAGCAGTTTTAACAGTTTACAGTGTTGACACACTCTACATGCTTTGGAGGAGTAATCTCAGATAAAGGTTTAAACTTCTTTTTCTCTTCCTTTCCTTTCTAAAGGATCTGAAAACAGCTGTGAAATGTGAATAGATTTTAACTATTAAGCCCATACTGCCAAGATGTTATTTCCTGTAGCTTTGACTCATGCAACTGAACAAATAAATTGGAGCAGAATATTGTTTTCTAACGTTGATTTTTGTCTCACTCTGCCACCCCCAGGCTCTGCTCTATTTAAAGCCGATACACCAAAGCATACTGTCCGTTTGCTTATTCTTCCTGCTTGCGAGGCACTGCATCGCAGGAACTGCTTGCTTGGAGCAGGGTGAGTCTGCACCCCCATGAGCCTGACCTGGCTCCCAGTGGTCACCCACTCACCAGGGGAAGCACCCTGTTGTCATCTGGTGTGGGCTGGTGCCACTCATGTGCCCCGGGGTTGTATAATGGAAAGAACAGGGCTTTGTCCACAGAATTCGTCATCCTGGGCTGAGCATTTGGCTTTCAGTGAGACCTGTCCCCAGATCCATGACTGCACAGCAGAGAAGTCTAGCAAAGGGTTCACACTGAAACCACCACATACAGTTCCATTAGCAATTAATTTCTTAATTAAACACTGTGAAGTGTGTTTGATCATACTCGTGTCTGCATTCATTGTGTATTTCACCTGGCTGCCAACAGCACCCACTAGCCCAGAACACACCGGGTAAATAACTATTCTTCATATGAGGGGTGGCAGGTCAGAAGATCAGTGTCCTCTCATTGCTTCCTCTGTCTCAGCATCTGCTTTTACAGCATTTATGCCACAGCGAGGCACAGACAACTTGAAGAAGCCTCCAGATACATCTCATCTACTGCAGTGTCATTACCGGCAGCTGCAGGCTATGTGCACAGCTAAACTGTCTCCCATGCAGAGGTCCAGCACAACATCTATACATCATTAATGTCGCTGTCACAGTGGGATGTAATTGCTGCCTAGGCCTTTTGATGGCTTTCTGCGCAAGGGTGCATTTCATTCTTGATGTATTATAAATGATTGTAATACAGTACCTCTCAAAAAAAAAACCAAAAGAACAAAAGGTAAGTATGCTAGAGAAGTTTTGCTAATATGTTGGCCTGCTCTCACAGATTTAAAACTGTAGAAAGCACTGACAGCCATCTTATGTGACTACAAGATTGCTGTTATGGAAGTCACCTTGAATAACAGTACCTCATTCAGCTGTGCTAGGGGCACAACCAGAGGGATACTGTTGTCTCAATTTTATAGAGACATTTAAATTAGGCATTGTAGTGAGATATTGTCAGTCATGTTGCCTTGCTGTTGAGGATCTGGGACTTTAGTGCTGATAGGATCACTCTTAACTGGTTTACAGCTGACATTGGAAAGGGGAAAAGGATTCTTCAGCTTGTTGTGTGAGACTGTAAATGCAGAGTGCAGTGGCTTTGGGTGTCCAGGTGCTTCTTGGTGTTACCATCTTCTGCCTTGCTCCTGACCTGCAGTGATGCTGATGGGAGTCCTCCTAACCAGACAATGAGACACTGGTTGCATAGCAATTTAGTTTGGAGGGGGGAAACAATGAAGTCCCTGGGGAAGAACTGCTAGCCTGTAAGAGAGAGGATGAAGGGATGTGCTTTTTCTTTCCATTGCTGGGTATGCAATTAACTGTAGACTCCCTCTGTTTCCACAACCTCGGCAAATGCCAGCTGGGAGTTTGCATTAAATCAGTGTGGGATACATTTCTGTCAGAGGTTTGATTGCTCAGTTTTGCATGGTATAGATCATTATGAGAGCTGCAGAAGAAAAGCAGGACTCCTCAACAGGGGTGGACAGGAGGAGCTTGCTGCAGGTACTGAGTGATTTCCATTCAGTGAAGTTTTGTTTCCAAATTCAATCCTTAAGCTAAAAGCAGAGGAGAGAGGACTGAAGGAAGCCATGATCACAAACTTCAAAGCCAGAGCAGTTGCTGTAGAGTGGGAGTGAGACACTCCTCATGCCTGTGGGGGCTCAGGATGAAAGTCACAGGCTTCAAATAGCAGCATGGGAGGTATCTGGGTGAGTGGCCAACAGCCAGGGCAGCTGGGCACCACCACAGACCAACTATGAGGACCGAGGAGCTTGTGAGGCAAGTGTTTATAGGGAATGGACTCAGCACAGCTAGCCGGGCTTGGACAAAGGAGGTGAAGGGGTCCCTCCATTCCAGTCCAGCCACCCTGTCCCTGCACAGGCCCTGAGGTAGCTTTCTTGCTGAGGAGGGGAGCCCGTAAAGGGAGACAGACGGAATCATGTCTTCATCTGATGGCACATCCCTTAATTTTATTCTTTTCTAGCTAAACTAACCATTAAGGAAGAAAGAAGCGTGAAGGACAGAAAAACAAGATGTTGGTGCTGTCTAATGACACAGCCCTGAATTCACTTCTCTCCAAGCTGCTTCAAGACTACCTGGAGCAGACAAATAGCTCTGCACCTTCCCAGGCCGTAAGTGCCAGCAACAACCTGGAAATCATCTATGTGCTGCTGATAATTGGCCTCTTTGGCTTCTTCACAGTGGGAGTCATGCTGACCAACATCCGTGCCAGGAGGCTGGAGAACTCCCGTGACCCCTACAACACCTACATTGCCACAGACATTTGGCACAAGAAGGACAGGGAGTATTTTCAAGCCAAGCTCATAGAAAATTACAAGCTGTGCTGTGTCTTTGAAAACCAGCTGGCCGTGGAGCAGCCAAGCACGCAGATTCCTGAGGCAAAGTCTTCCTAGGAAAATGGGAGAAAAGATTGTACTCTGCACAGGGACATTCCGAACGATATCTGCCACAAACAAGGCTCGCTGCTTGCCCACCTGCAGAGCCACAGGCACTGGCCTCAGTCAGGTTGAATAACCATGGACCGATGGTGAAGCTGGTGCATCTGTGATGGCCCTGGTGCTGCAGAAGTGCCCAGCCGCCAGAACCTTATTGCAATCAACGTAAGGTTGAGGATGGGACACACACATAGGGAGTATCATGGACTCATCAGATTCACCTAATGAAAAAAGCAAATCCTGGGGTTGCCAGTGTGAGCGCTTGCAGTAGTCCATGTAATTAAAACCAAATTGGATCAAATGCAAGCTAGAGGCCTTAACTGCCAAGTTTCGTTTAAGCAACACTTTTCAAGTAAGACCTGAAGTAGCTAAAATATTTGATTTGCATTTTTGTCCAGCATAGAATAATGACTCTGTAAATTGTACAGTGCTGTGGATTACCTGTTTCTTTTGGAATTGTGCAACCCTTTGAGATAAAATTTTAGAAAAAAAATCACTTTTTTTTCTGAAAACCATTTCTGTGGAAAAATGCTGGCTTTGGAGGGATACTTTTTAGTCCCTGCCCCTAATTCCCAATAGGTACCCCAGATTGGTCTTGCCAGCTACTTTTGGTTTTCTTCCTCATGGATGGGGGTTGATCCTGGCAGCAATATTTACCTTTGTACAAAGATTCAGCAGCCCATAGGGTCTACGCCGTGCAAGTGTGTAATGTTCTGAGAGTTTCAGTCACCTGTAATTATTGCACGAGACCTAAGTGCTAGCCCTGGGTTGGAAAGTGAATTTCCGCTCTGTGAAAAGCAGCTCCGCAAAGTGTTTGATATTTAATCACTGACACAGCCTATGCCTGTGCTTGTCTTAAAGACCATGAGCAGCTCCTCCAGCTCCCAGGAGCAGCCTCCCTCGCTATAGCTCTTTATCTATTGCAGTATCCAACTGGAGATCGTGCCAGCAAGGTTTTCTTGCCCTTGGCCTCCTTACTCCCTCCTTTGGCAGGCCGCGTCTGCTGAGCCATGGAGGCATGGTGGCAGCTGAACTCAGCTTCTGCAGCAGCAGCTCTCATCTGTCTCTGTTGAAAGAGAGAAATACGGCTCCCCTGGACGTCGTGTTACTCAAAATAACAACCCTGCCAATTTTATGCCTGTTTTCGCATTTGGAATCAAAGCAATGGCCTGGGCAGAAGGGGCTTTTTATTTCTGCTCTGCAGATACACATCCCATTTTTAGGTACTGGAGAGGAAAGAGAAGTGGGAAAGGCTTGAAAGAAAGTTGTGCAGAGCAGCCACTTCAAAGGCAATGCAAGGGTAGACAGCTGGCCAAGTATTTGGATGGGCAAGTGATACCAGTCACAGCATATCCCTTTTCCATGCATAGGTACTTCTTTAGCACTGCACTTTCACTAGAGTAATATCCCAGCCATAATTGTGTTCCCAAAATACTTCGGACAATTAAAACTGCAGGGTATTTTTTAAGAAAGGTATTTAGGTGGTGCCTCCCATTAAGCTGAGGATAAGATACACATTTTCAGTATCTTGAACAGCTTGGAAAATCACCACCAGCTTAATTATCCGAGTCAGTTTTTCCTCTAAGGGAATATAAACTAAAGCCAAGCTTTGGAAAAATGTTGCCTTCTCAGCTTGGGCAACTGCTCTTTTGGGATCTCACCATGCAGTCTGTTTATTACTTAATTTCCCTTCACTTGTGAGAGTTCAAATGCTCTTGCTTTATAGTTCTCCATAGGCAGGCCCATGCAGCATCGCTGACAATGCTTAAACTTGCATCAAAAATGGCTTTAAAACACAATAAAACTTTGAACATAAAGCTTGTCAAAAGGTCTCCCTCCTGCAGCTCCCCCTCCATCCCAGGTGTTTTCAGCTGTTTTGGGTCTAGGCACTTGCTGGTCACTTTATTTTATTAGCTCCAGTGCAGTCATTTGTGACAAGGGTGATTGGCAGCATTAGCTGGCTTCAACATTTTTTTTCAGCTCTGCAATGTTATGTATTTTAAAAAAGAGGGGGACCGTCATGCCTTTCTCATAACACTTTCCTGAGCCACCAGGCTACAAACCACCCTTCAGTGGCAGCTGGGAACTCCCACCACAGGCTTTCACGTTACCCTGTAGTTCTTTTTTCCCTATTTTCTTCACCTGTACAAACAATAAAATGTGAATTGCAAACCAAGCTTGTGGCCTCAGATTTACTTTTCTCCTAACCTGTTTCACAACCTCACAGAAAGAGCGCTGACACGACCTGATGCGCACCCACCCATCTGTCCCCTTTCTACACCCTATTAACCAGAGCCGGGCCTGGGTGCTGGGATATTTCCTGCTACACCCAGACCTGGAGAAATATCAAAATGTCAAGAAGAGATTCCTCACCTCGAGGGTTTGCAATACCCTGGGCAAGCTTGTCTCTGGCGTTCGGTGCAGTGATCCTGGCTGCAGCCTTTGGGCAGTTTTCCACTGCAGCCCCTGCAGCACCAGGCAAGCCTGGGTTTTGTTGCACCGCCTGCCAGAAATGAGCCTGGCAAAGGGGAGAAATAGCTGTAGGGTAGTATTCTCCCCAGCAAGGGAGGAAGGTCTTTTGCTTACCTGATTCCCAGGAGCTCTGCACAAGCCATCAGTTGGGCAGTTAGCCCTCATGGGATGGTTTGTTGATGCAGATTGTTTTTAAGGCTAGAGAGAACCACTCCGATCACAGGAGAGGCAGGAGTATATCAAGAGATCTTAGTGGTTTGGGTCAGCCAGGTTTTTCTGCACGTACTCCTAGAAAAAGGCTCTGAAATCCCTTTCTATATAGCTCTGGATTATGTACAAAGAGTTTTGGAGATGTAAAGTGTGAGCCAAGTTGCAGCCTGCATTGCCAAGCATCCTACAGGGCTTGTAAACCCAGCTCCCACTTCCTCTCTCATTACCACTGACTCAGGCAGGACGGCTGACATGGGACCCATCTCTGACTTCATGTAATAGGAGAAAGACCATTCACTGGCCAAGGAGAGCCTAAAAATGTTTGATTTGCTCATCATCTTTGCCATAGACCAAAGGCCATCAGCAAACCTATCACGTAATTACTGTCACACAGAGCTCCTGCTTGCTGGGGAGACCGAAGAATCTTCAACTCATTACGCAAGTGTTATACTTTCTTTGCCCAAACTTCAAAAGCTTGTGCTCAGGAGACATAAAATAGCCAGGGAGGCTGTCAGATGTTTATTTTTCTCCAGGCCCCAATAGCTAAAGTCCCTGGCTTCATCAGCTATGGCTTACTCTAGTCGATAGCCTTGCTGCCTGTTGGCCTAATGAGCATACCTCGAGGTATTTCTCTCTGGCTACCTATGTTTTTTTGTAATAGAAATTGCATTACATAGAAATGCCAGAATTATACAGAATTGGCATATTGAATTTAAGCCCTACATTGTTAACAGCAATGTGGTGGTAAAGCAAAAAGTTCTCAAGCAAAATCAAAGTCCAATATATCAGGTTCTCTCCTGTGTATATTTTGAGAAGTTCTGCTTTGTGCAGTTGCAGACTAACATGGAAGTTGTGTGGTACAAAGCCACAAGAATAAAATATTGATGAATGTATGTGGTACAGCACAAATGTGGGCAAGATGCTGTGTTGTACCTCTTGGAGGAGAAAGTCAGTCCTCGTGCCTTGGTGGAAGAAGCTCCAGGGCAGTTTGTCACTATGTTATGAAGCTACGGACTCACAGGAGGATGAGCTCTCCCTCTTCTACCCTTTCCTGCCTGCCCCAGAAACCTGTCTGGGTTGCCCAGACTCTGGGCAACACTGTGACTGTTGCACCCCCTGAAAACTTAGAGCATATGTACTCGGGCCATGCCTGCAAAGCTGGTGCATGCGGCATACCCTTCTCTGACAGCACGCAGTCATTTGCCGAAGTGTGAGTATGCTTACCAGAGGATACATCTGCATGGGCTCACACGGAGAGTGTATGGGTGGCCTCAGCTCAGCTTTAAGATGGCCAGATGCCAGCTCCAGCTGTAAGAAAGCACGGGTGCAGTGCTGAGATGGAGGCCAATATGCCCTAAGCAATGATGAGAAGTGGTTTACATCCAGGCAGCACAGAGCTCAGGAAAGCAAGTCTGTGCTGATCTGTAGCAGCTCTGTAGCCTGATACATAGCCTTCTCGTAGGAAGACCAAACAGAGTTTATCCTTTGCCTTCACTGCAAAACCTTCCCTCCCCTCTCATCAACCTGTAGAACTTCAGACCCTGGTTCTTATTTCCTGTCTCATGGAGAACGTGCATCTGCAGCAGCTGGCTTTTCATCATGCCCAGCAAAAATCCACATAGGTGCAGATACAAGTGTTCAAAAACTGCCAAGATAAGGCGGTCAGTGATATGCTTTAGTGGTGGTCTTGGCAGTCCCGGGGTAATGGTTGGACTTGATGATCTTAAAGGTCTTTTCCAAACTAGTTGATTCTATGAAACCTCTAGAATTAAGTAGTCCATCTGGAAAATACTTTAGCAAAAAGCAGCCCAAGCATGCAATGAGTGTGAAGTGAGTTCCACCCCCCCCACCCCCCCCCTTATAGTTATCAGTGTTATCTTTATTTGCAGTTGGCTGGGTCAGACCTGCCACACTGGGAAACATGCACAAAGAAAGACAAGTGAAGGAAACAGATAAAAATAGAAGATATGAGCAATCAGAAGCAAGCAGAACATTCTTTACAGCCAAGAACTGGAATTATCTTATACAATATTTCTATGGCATCCTGTTTCATTTTTGCACGTTGTTATCATTATGCCAGATTCACTCCCTAATCTCCTCATCCAGCTGCAGCCACCATCTACGCATGTGAAACCTCCACAAAGCCTTTCTCAAGACATTGCTCAAGGGACCAGCACCAATGTGACTGCTGGGCAGAGGAGGCTGCGGAAGGTCACCCTGCATTCCACCAGTGCAGTGGGCAGGAGGCTGCTCCCAGACACCAGAGCTGTCCACACACAGCCATGGATATGTTCAAGCAGAGAAATGGTCCCAGTCAATCACCTTCAAATGACAAGAAGCAAAGTCCATACCATGCCAAAATATGCAGGAAAGCTATCGAATTCTTGGTACTTCTAGGGCAGGGCTTGCAAGGAGGGCTGTTTCTAAAGCCAGCTTTCTACCGCACCCACAAGTGTCCTTCAGATCAAAGAAAAGGGAAGATATACGTAAGTATTGATGGAAGATGCATGGATACTAGTAAACATTGTGACTGTCTGATTTGATCTAGCAGAAGAAAGGCCAAAGACTCCAATGCAATACTTTCTCCAGCCAGGCCCAGAGCTTCTGGTAGGGCTACAGCACATTGTTTTCAGAGGGCAAGCAAGCTTGCCAAAATAATATCTCTGCTTAGTCCACAAAATTCACACACTGGATTAGGGGCCACCAACCTTCCAAGAATAAAAGCCAAGCAAAATAACATTGGATACTTTAACATGAGAGCACTTGCTCTAAAAAATGGTTAGTTCAGTATTGGTTCGATGAGTGTGATAGCAGTTTTACAATACGTATGCCACATGACCACAGCCTACCTTCACAGAAATACACTGTGATTTTGACTGATGTCTGGTAAATGGATTCTTAGTATATAATAGTTCTGATTTTGTTTCCAGATGTGGTAGCTTTTGTATGCTTATACAAGCATAGCTTGTTAGCCCAGATGTGAGCATTCATTCTGATTTAACCGTGAGGATCAGGGATTGACTGGCAGCTGCTGTTCAGCACAGCATACTTACCTGTTGGGGAGGTAATGCTTACCTGATACAGCCCCATCAGCAGTATACAGTATCCCCCCCTTCTCCAGCTTTCCCCTCAAACCACAACCTCTGGCCTTCAGACCTCCCTCCCCAGCAGTCCACAGGTCCTCGCTTGACAGAAAGGAGCATAACCCTTCGGCCCCAGCTGAAAGGGGCCATATCAGTGGAGGATCTAGCCCATTGTTCCCAAAGACTGAGCTCCAATTTCCTTTTTCCTTGTGACCTCCAGCTTCGAGTGGCAGGATAACCTGTCAGGGGAACAGTTGATTCAGCAGCTGTTCTGGTTCACTGTCCTTCACACATGACTCAAGCCTGTGGTCTTTACTCAGACCCATGGCAACAGCAGGCTTAGAGACCTCCAATCTGATGGGACTTTTTGCCCTGACAATATTTTCTCAAGCCTTTATATCAGCTTTCTCCCTAACAACACAAAACAAATCCGGGAAAAGAGTGCAAACAACAATCTCATGCCACCTCTGCACCTGCAGGCAAGATCCCTTCTCCAGGCTGATTGAGCTGAGCTCACCCTGCAGGTGCCTCAGCAGCTTCACCCCCAGCAGCCCAGCTCCCAGGCACTCAGGGGTGGCTCTGGCCCATAGCTGCATGCAGAGGGCATGGAATAAACTATCAAATCCTCCGCATACTTTTATTTAGTTTTCATCTGAATACGCCAGAGTTACAGTGCAGGAACAGACAAACCAGCACACTCATCAGTCAGGCACTCTCTGCCAACCAAGAAGCCACAGAGATTTACTCTCAGGCAGCCTGCGACAGGACTGATACCTAGAATTAACCCTCTGCTGGGCTTTCCCTCAAAAAAAGAGGGACATCTTTAACAGCAACAGCCCAATAGTCTTTTCATCCAAAGCCTGACCTTGGGAGAGGCATTGTAGCAGAATAAAATGCAATTTGAATAAAAGTAAGCAGAAGAAAAACATACTGGTTCATGCGAATCCAAATTCCCAGTGGTGTTGGCTAACTAACTGTGGAATACAGGCGATAGAGACATGGTCTTCTTTGTTCAACAAATTCTTTAATCCAACATGTTCATATTAAACAGTCACTGCTGGATTTCTTTATGTGCATGTTGCTCCTTATTTCTGCCCATATGAGTCACCAAAATACAGAAATTGACAGACCCTTTGGAGCTACCACCAGGTATCTCCAGGGCACACTACCCTCGGCCAGATTTCTGACCCGTTTTTCTCTCATTTCCCATGTCCCTCCAGGGGAGCACGACTGTGTCCACCCTGGCTACGTGGGGCAGCTCTTCTCCCTGGAGACCACCCTGGCTAGGCTTGGGCAGGAGTACGGGCAATGGTAATGTCTCTGCTGATGGCAGTGCTGCC